TTGAGTATTAAACCAATAAACTATGTACATAGTTATAATGAGGAAGGATGCCTCTTTCAGATTTGTGAATTTCAATGCCCCAGGGTCAGGGGTTTTTGTGTTAGGGTGGGGCTCTAATGATTATATAGTGAAATGCATGAATTCTTTGAAAACTTTTTCCTTTGCTCCTGGGTATTATGCCAATGTTCTAAGTACATATTAATGATGATGAAAGGTGCCTCTTCCAAAATGATTAATTTCAGGGCCCCTGGATCAGGATACTGGGGGTGGGGGTGGGGGTTACATAGTCTGAAATAAATTAATGCTTTGAAATCTGCATTTTGGTATTAAACAACCATTTATGATGATATAAAATTGATGATAAAATTTCCGGAATTTTGAAATATGTACCCGCAGGGTCAGTGGTTCCTGTGGGGTGGGGTGGGGTGGGGTGCACAACTGGTTATAAAGTGGAAATGAATTTTCTCTTTGTTACTCTGATCTACCTCTGGATATTAAGAAACCAAAGTAAGCAAGCTAAACGTATAGTTATGATAAGCAATAGTGCCTCTTTCAAAATTTTGAATTTCATGGCCTTTGATTCAAAACACGAACCAATTCAGTTTGTTGGAAACTTGTTTCATAATACTCAGGTGGCCTATAAAGCCCTTGGGCCTCTTGTTTATCCTAAAGAATGGTGCACATGCCTGATAGGAAATAATAGATGTACTGAAGCCAAACATTTTTATGGTAGAAAGGTTCTGTGAGTGTGGTACTGTACAGGAGAAAGTAACCGAGGGATGCTATAAGTAAGGCGGCTAGTGACGTCCATCTTGGTCCCAGTCTCTCACACATCATTCCAGCAGGAAACCCAAGAGATATTCCGAAGTTTGACATGGATCCAAGAATTTCCACTGAAATCATCGTATAAACAATATTAAAATTTGATTTTAAACGAAAAAAATTGCACTTGATTGGTATAATGGAATTTTTCATTCCCTATGATTGCAATGCTATAGAACTTAATGCATCCAACACAATTTCAACGTTATAAATGACATTATAAATCTGAAGGTTTTATTTTGTCCTTCGATAATTTGTAAATCTATTTAAACTTGGAAAATTGCATACCTTGAGATTGTGTATAGTTAAAATGTGCTTTAACAGCGGTTATATAAGCTCCAAAGGCATAAACGGAGCCTGCGGCTATCATTCCAAGACATCCAACGATCAGAGCCAAAATTCGCGTCACATTCATCTTGTCAAGCATCATGGTGTTGCTTCTGAAAGAACAGTGGAAATTGTACTACATAGTTTGACTTCCAGGCAGATTTTTAAACTCAATTTTTCTGAATAAATTTATTCTGGTTTACCTACATATACATAAATATTTTACATTGCTTAGGACCTGTATGTCATTTAGTTTTTCATAGAAATGATCAATTTATAGGTGAGGGTCAATTATACTCTAAAATTTGTATAGGGATATTCTTGGAAATAAGCTACTGACAAGGGAATAGTTTTTTGAAAATATGTTCATAAAAAATGAAAAGTATTTCGAACATTCTTGCCAGAAAATCACTCAAAGGTGGATCTTATTTAAGATAGCCACTCTAAGAGAAATGTGCTTTATATGTTATGTTCATATAATTTTGTAAAAAGAGCAAAATAACCACATTAGTTTAGCATACAGAATGTTATAATTTTGATAATTCTTAGAATCAAAACCTGTGCTCCTCTTCTGTGCTTTTATTAATGAACTTTGATATTTTTATTTTATTTGAAAAAGTCTAGATGATCGAAGGTAATAAAGGGTCTTTTCAGGGCACGGATTACTGTTTTAATTCGACTAGTAAGTACATTTATATAAAATTAAGTTTTATAATATTGACATCCAAATTATGAAACTGATAGAATACATTAAAAAATTACTCACTCAAAGAAAAAAATAGGAATCCAAAATAAATATTCATTCAGTAATGTTGTAAAACAACTTTAAGATGCAAATTATCTGTGTGTGAGTTATGTAGTCCGAATTCCATGTTATCATGTGTTATGATAAATATTCAACGTAGATAACCGTGTATCATATCATTGTTAGCAGATAAACAATCTGAGTGTGACTGTCATCGGTACTCGATTTGTTCATGCGTTAAACAGAAAAAAAAAATGATTAAAACATAATAAAATCGTCATTTTTGTCTAGATGTTATCCAAAAAATATGATGCACTTAACAATGATAGATAAACATTTATTGCAAATTTCAGCTTAATTTAATGCGCCCAGCATTGTTTGAGAAATACGCTTAATTTGTCCACGATTTTACCGGACAACCCTCGTATAATTCATCTTATAATAAAAAAAAAAGTATGTAATAAAGCAGTACATAAACATATATATCAGTATATTTTTGTTAGAAATACAGATTAAATGTCAGTTTAACACGACCATCAAAATAATGGATCTATAGTAGAAGTTTTGATTTTACAAATGCAGCATCATATACTGACGATTTGTCAGCATTAGAAAGAATTATCAGCAGGAGGAATAGAGTTTATGCACAGACGAGGGTTGATCCAAAAGTTCGTGGAATTTCTTTCTAAAATTTTATCACGATTTGATGAAAGCAAACAATAGGCATATTTATAATATGGAGTCATAATGCAACAATATTGGAAAACTTCACCAATAAGGTCATACCAGCTTTCCGAAAAGGATAGTTGTAAAACCCGGGGGAGACTTCGACGTAACGTCATGTTAAGTACTTAGTATGTCACGTCACAATGAAATGGTAAATTAGGCTGACAAAGCTTTCTCAAGTTCATTCTATCTATTGACATATTCTTTAAAAATTTAGAAATAGCATTTTATTTTGAAAATATTTTTCACTATGAAAAATGTACAAAGAGAATTTACAACTATATAAACAAAAATGATATAATTCCTACAGCAATTCCAAAGTGGAATCAAGACTTATCTCCCTTTGGAGTGACATATATTTGTATAAAAGATGTTTTTAAAGTTTGTTTTAAGACTACTTCTGATTCTTCTGTACAGTGGTTACAATATAGAATTTTACATAGGATCCTCCCTGTAGATTCTTATCTTAAGAAAATCAATATAAAAACTACTGATGTTTGTGAGTTTTGTACCCAAGAAACTGAAACTGTACTGCATGTATTTGTTCATTGTGACCATATCATATCTTTATGGAGGAACTTGAGTTTACATATATACAGAACAATTTCAAAAAGAATTGCATTTAATGTTAAAAATATTATCTTAGGTGAATTACCACTTACAAATGATAATAGAATTGAAAATTTTATGATATTATACACAAAACAATATATTTTTTTCATGTTTATTGCAACCAAAAATACCTTCACTTCTTGGTTTACTAAGCTACTAGTATTTGAAAATGAAATACAATATTGAAAGATGCATATCTATCAACAATTCAAAAACTACATTATTTTGAAGAACAATGGATTTTTTGGAAAAATATTTTTGAACAAATGTAAGATTACACATGTATATGTTAGATGTTTGTTTAAATTAGTTTGCATGATAGAGACAACTGAGTATTATAAAGCAACCTTCATTAATTTAAAATGTAAATGGATGTATGGATGGGTGTGTGAGTGCTAAATATCCATTGTAATTTTGCTGTTATTTTAATTTGATTCTGTATGTAATACAATGGATAATAATAATAATAATAATTGAAAAGAAAAAGTATGTCACTTCACGTTATAGAAGCATCTCACTCTAATGTCCAGTTCGAATACGTAATTCTACAAAATGCTGTCCTTCTTCCATTTTTTTTTTCAAGAAGAGCCTGGGTATCCTCGCGCACCAACTTCGTTTCTCATTCATATTTCAAATATTTCCTATCTCCATTTTCAGTAGCAATGTCAAGAACAGTACGTCAGCCGACAATGCCCATTAACGCTTTTAATTTGTCTAGGTGGATAAACTCTTTAGCATGACCATCCAAAAAGCGGTCATACCTTTAATTAACGTCCATGGCATTTCTATCTTACTCAAATTTCTTACACCACAGGGAAACCAGTAACTTAATGCATTTTTCCTCAGCCTTTGTCAATATAAATATACGCTTTAAAGATAATTTGATCCCAATATTTTCACAAAACTTATGACTTGACCGAAATATGACGTCTAACAACTTAAAGATGAACAATAAATCATCAATTAATTAACTAAATATCCAGTAATATCGGTAAAATTCTTACACAAAGGTTTATAAAAGATCAAGCAATCGTAATAATGAAATAATTTTCATTTTATATACCACATAGGGCGGTTTTATTCTCATTTCACGTATTAAGAATTAAAATGATAATTAACGTGTTAATGTCTCCTCTGCATTTCCAAACATCCGTTTATATGGTAACTGCCATAGAGTTACTATCGTAAATATTATAAACTGTTTTTTATTTAAAATATTCAACAAGTGTATATATTCTCATTTTTAATTTTCATTCCTCTATCAGATACTGTGCTTTCCCATTACTTTTTCTCTGCTTTTGTTACTCTTGCCGATCTTATCATTCGTGTCACCTATCACTATTCGAATAGTGATAGTGACATGAATGATAAGATCGGCAAGAGTAACAAAAGCAGAGCAAAAGTAATGGGAAAGCACAGTATCTGATAGAGGAATGAAAATGGAATTGAATTTTGCGAAACAAACGAACTAGTGATAGGTGGAAGCCTTTTCCCTCACAAAGACATCCAAAAAACGACCTGGGAATCACCCGACGGCAAATCAAAGAACCAAATCGACCACATTATGATAAGCCAAAGATGGAGAAGTTCGTTGCAGGATGTAAGAGCTATGAGAGGAGCAGATTTAACTCCGACCATCACATGTTACTGGTCAAAGTGAAAATTAAACTGGCAAAGAATACTAAAATTGAGACAAAGAGAATAAAGTACAATGTAGATAAACTGAAAAAACCTGATTGATAAGGACATACCCAGGTATTACAAATATATTTATAATTGGTATCGGAAACACGTGGTGTTGTTCGTTTACGTGTTTAGGTAGTATTTATAGTATCTAAGATTTGATTGGATTTTAACGATTGATATGAGTTCAAATGAAATCGTGCGGAACAGGTAGTTTACCTGTGTCCAGGTATTAAGAATTAGAGGTTATTCGAGGTTTCGCTGCGCTTAGTGCAACAAGTAAAAAGTCGAATAAATGTCTCGGCAAAAAACAGATTTCTTGGCCCAATACCGGGAGGAAGATGAGTCTCTAGACGATACTCTACTACAAGAAACCGATGGTGAACAGAAAACCACTCGCAAGAAGGCAAATTCTGCGGAGACCTCTGGACACTCTAGCCCCCGTGTAAGTGTGGACTTGGCCGATACTTTCAACTTGTTCAAGTCATACCTGGACAACAAACTAGATACTCTCAAGGAGGAACTCTCTACGGGTAACGACATCGAAAATTTAACAAAAACCATTAAAAAAGAGGTCTCTGTAAAATTCAAGAGTGAAGGGAACAAAATTCAGTTTAACTTTAATACTGAAATATTGGGTGATTTGAATAAACTTAAAAAGCGCATTTCAGATTCCTCCACATTGAGCATCGTTAAAGAGCTCATTTCCAAGGTCACTAAACGTAACAAGCTCATCAGGATCGCCGATAAATCTCCGGCCGGGTGGTCGACAGTCCGTGAGTATGAAAGTGATGATTTGGCGTCCGACTCTGAGGACGAAAAACGTCTACGTCAAGCTGAAAACCGAGCATTACGAGCTCTCAAGGAAAAACGCCGTTTTCAGCCATACTCCAAGTCTGGTTCTGCAACAACTTCGCTACCTGATGGTAGGTCTGGTGGTTCTGGCCGTAATTTTCGTCCCTACAAGCGTAAGGAGGCCTCTCCATACGACGTGTGCTACAACTGCCATAAGCTCGGCCATTGGAAATCCGCATGCACTGCCCCAGCCAGAACCAACAACCCAAGCGCAAGCTCGTCAACCCAGTGATTATGAGAATCAGTATGTATATTTCGTTGATGAATCTATTTTTACTGATCAGTTTGAATCATTTGTACAGCAAGTAAATTATTTTGAAAATTTACCTGCTATTGGTAAAGGAGTGAAAGGCAGTTTACGCAAACATTTTGAGTTTTGGAAGTCCATAAGCACTAATGAGTTCATATTAGATACTATCAAAAATGGTTATGTTATTCCTTTTGTTACAGTACCACCATGCATGAGACTGAATAATAACAAATCTGCAATGAAAAACCAACAATTTGTTGGTCAGTCTGTTTCAGATCTTCTTGAGAGTGGCTGCGTACAAGAGGTTCCCTTTCAGCCACATGTGGTCAGTCCACTAAGTGTTGCAGAAAATAAAGGGTCTGGTAAAAAGAGACTTATTCTGGATTTGAGTCAGTTGAATTATTTTGTAGAAAAAAGAAAAGTAAAGTTTGAAGACTGGCGTATTGCTTTGAATTTTTTCAATAAAGATTGTTTTCTGTTTAAATTTGATCTAAAGTCAGGCTATCACCACATAGATATTTGTAAAAGACAGATTACTTTCCTTTCATTCAGTTGGAAAGATAAGTTTTATTGTTTCAATGTTTTACCTTTCGGTCTAACGTCTGCACCTTATATTTTTACCAAGTGTCTAAGACCCATCTTGAAGTACTGGAGGAGCTGCGGAATTGACATTGTTTTGTATCTGGACGACGGTCTTGGTTTTGGTAAAGATTTACAAACGTGTGTTAAAGCATCAAATTTAGTTCAAGAGACTTTAGAAAAAGCAGGTTTGCTAATTAAGATTGAAAAGTCTATTTTTCAGCCTGTCCAGTGTTTGGAGTGGTTAGGGTTGGTATGGGATACCAGTGTATTTTCTCTACGTATACCTGAAAGACGACTTTCTGATGCTCAGAACTCGATAGATTTTCTTATTGATAAATTTCCCAACTTTACAGCTCGAGATCTCGCGAAAGCGGCTGGGAAAGTTATTTCCATGTCACCAGTTGTTGGTAATGTAACAAGTTTGATGACCAGACACATTTATTTAGCTATAGAGAGCAGAAGTCATTGGGATTGTTTAATCAGTTTTTTATTTCCAGAAGCAGTAAAATCAGAGTTGCAGTTCTGGAAGGAAAATCTTGATAAGTTGAATCAGAAACTGTTAGTTAAAGACTCGTTACCAGTAACGCTTGTGTTTTCAGATGCCAGTGACGTTGCAGCTGGTGCATATACTGTAGAAGCTGACGAAAAGGTTTTTCATAAAACTTGGTCATTGAATGAATCTGTTATGAGCTCCACGTGGAGAGAACTTAAAGCTATACAGTTAGGTTTAGAGTCATTTGCCAGTTCATTTATTGGAAAGAGTTTACTTTGGCATACTGACAATCAAAATTGTGTAAAAATTATACAACGAGGTAGCACTAAATTACATTTACAAGATTTAGCTTTAGACATTTTTTCTAAATGTGTTGAAAATTCTGTTTCGTTGAAAATTTGTTGGATACCTAGAAACAAAAACACAAAAGCAGATTATTTGTCTAATTTAGTCGATTATGAAGATTGGCAAACAACTCAAGAGTTTTTTAGTTTTGTTGACCAAATGTGGGGTCCTCAAACTATTGATAGATTCGCAAGTGTGTATAACACAAAGTTAACGAGGTTTAACTCCCTTTTTTGGTACCCAGAGACTGAAGCAGTTGATGCTTTTACCTAAAACTGGTGTTTTGAAAATAATTGGTTAGTACCACCTATTTGTCTTGTGAGTAAAGCTATAAAACATGTAATAGCGTGTAAATGTGTGGGTACATTAATTGTTCTAAAATGGCCGTCTGCAGCATTTTGGACTTTACTGTTTGATGAAAATATGAAGTATAAACAGTGTGTAGTTGATGTTTTGGAATTTTCTCCATATCAGAATATTTTTATGCATGGCAAAAATCTGAACAGCCTGTTTGGCTCTGACAGCTTTAATTCCAGAGTATTAGCTGCAAGACTCAGTGGAGTCTGATAGACATGGCCTTAGAAGGCATGGTCTGTGTACATATTAATGTTTGAATTTATTTTGTGTTTATTATGACAAGGCCAAGTTTATGGCAAGGTCAAGTTTTATTGTTAGATTGACATGGCCCTTAATTAGAATGCATTTCTTTTTAAGCTGGCACGGTCAGGAATGAAAAGACAAGGTCGTGCTTATCGACGAGGTCTACTGCGACAAGGCTTGGGTTTCCAAGCATGGTCGGTAATATGACTTTTACTATAGTTTTGCAGATGTTTTCAAAACTGGAAATTGGATTTCGTTATGGAGGACCTCTCATCCCTCCTTACAATCGCTGGCAAAGAAACTTCCGGATTTAATCATGAATTCCAAGGCTGAAAACACAAGAAAAACGTACGGATATGCCTTCAATAAATTTCGTAAGTGGTGTTTTACACATAATATTTCATATCTTCCTGCAACGGATTTCCATGTATCGCTATACTTAACAAGTCTCAGTAATACATGTAGCAGTACAGGGACAATTGACGAGGCTTTTTATACAATTAGCTGGGCGCATAAATTGGCGGGATGTCCTAATCCCTGTTCATCCGAACTTACTATTTCAGCCAGAGAGGGATGCCATAGAACTATCGGGAAACAGTTGATAAATAAAAAAGAACCTATTACCTCCAATATACTGAAACAATTGTGTGCTCTTTACGGAGGTGAATCGTGTTCTTTGTTAGATATTAGAATATGTTGTATGTGCTTATTAAGTTATGCTGGTTTTTTAAGATTTTCAGAACTTGTTCATTTGAAGAGATCAGATATATGTTTTTATGACAATTATATGACTCTTACTATTCAGAAAAGCAAAACAGATCGTTATAAAGAGGGGAGCAATGTAGTTGTGTCATGTACGAATGAAATTACATGTCCTGTGAGAATGACCAGAAGATATCTCAGTCTAGCAAACATTAACGACCAATCTAATGAATATTTGTTTAGATCTATCACTTATTGTAAAAATTCTAACACATACAAATTAAGAGGAGAAAAGCGCTTGTCATATACTAGGGCTAGAGAGATTCTTCTGGACGCGCTCGCATCATTGGGTTTAGATAGAACTAAGTTTGGTCTGCATAGTCTTCGCGCTGGCGGGGCTACTGCAGCGGCCAACCATGGTGTTTGTGATAGACTATTTAAAAAACATGGTCGGTGGAAATCCGAGACTGCTAAAGATGGATATGTGTCAGAAAATCTTAGACAGCAAATGTCAGTTACGAAAAATTTGGGTATATAAAGGGTGGGTTTTTGCTTCTGTCTTTATTGGTCGAGGTCTGTTGCACAGACGCAGGCGATGCCGTTCCTAAACATGTGTTGGAGTTTTGAATTTATAAATAATTTATGTTCGGTTGAACTGGTGAATTAGAACATAAATATATTTATAATTGGTATCGGAAACACGTGGTGTTGTTCGTTTACGTGTTTAGGTAGTATTTATAGTATCAAAGATTTGATTGGATTTTAACGATTGATATGAGTTCAAATGAAATCGTGCGGAACAGGTAGTTTACCTGTGTCCAGGTATTAAGAATTAGAGGTTATTCGAGGCTTCGCTGCGCTTAGTGCAACAAGTCCCCGCTTACCCACCCTACTTTATAATGTATATATCTGATACGATTTAATATTTTCGTTTTTTATTTTGTAGAATGTTGTTTCAAAGAAGAATATTTAGAATATTTGTAACATTTATGTGTAATAAATGTCTGTTGCACAGACGCAGGCGATGCCGTTCCTAAACATGTGTTGGAGTTTTGAATTTATAAATAATTTATGTTCGGTTGAACTGGTGAATTAGAACATAATTAAAACTAGGGAATCGATTCAGATTACACCTGATCCCACCTCTGATGTTTCGGAGGTCCGTGTTTGCTCTGCTCCTATTTTGTATTGATTTATGGATTTGAGATTGAATACTTTTCGTTATCTCCATCTCCTCCTTCAGTGCACTATACAGTGAGGACCAAGAACTAGATATTGAGGGTGAATGGACTGCTGGAAGGGATATCATCAAGAAAACATGTGAAGAAGTCCTAGGAAGGAAAACCAACAAGAAGAAAGAATGGATGTCTGATACTACATGGCAGCAGGTTGAAAAAAGGCGTAAAATCAAAAAAAAAGTTAACAACGCTAAAATAAGAGCACAAAGAGTGATGGACATGCTAGGCACCAAACTTTAGATAAGGAAATTAAAAAATCATGCAGGTATGACAAAAGAGAGTATGTTAACCAACTTGCAACAGAAGCAGAAAGAGCTGCCTACATGGGGGATACAAAGACTCTACAGTTGGTTCAGACGAAGACATTAAAGCCAGAATAAGCAAAGACCGACAAGCCTTCGCAATGCTCAAACCTGTCTGGAGTTCCAGTAAAGTAAGTGAAATGTCATGTTGTAAATTTTGAATTTACCGGGTGGCAGTAAATACAAAATTTACAACATGACAACTTGTAAATTTTGTATTTACTGCCACCCGGTAAATTCAAAATTTACAACATGAAAGAAAGCACAAGGATCAGAATATTTAAAACCAATGTTAAATCAGTGCTTTTCTACGGATGTGAAACCTGGAGACTAACAGCAGGACTACAACAAAAATCCAGGTATTTACCAACAAATGCCTACGATACATCTGTAAAGTGACATGGCCAATTAAAATATCAAATGAACAGCTACTGGAGCGTACCAGCCAAAAACCAAAATCCCTCCAGATTAAGAAACGAGCATGGCAGTGGATTGTTCATGCATGGAGAAAGCCCCAAAACAGCATCATTAGACAGGCATTGGACTGGAATCCACAAGGTCATAGAAAACAACGGCGACCATTACACAGTTGGAGGAGAACAAGATTAGAAGAGCTTGAAAACATTTGAAAGACCTAGAAGGAGGCAAAAAGAACAGCCCAAAACAGAGTAAATTGGAGAGCGACTGTGGTAGCCCTATGCTCCACAAGAAACGAAGAGGACTAAGTAATTAAGTAATTTCATTCATAAATAGATAAAATATGAAGAAATTCCACGAACTTTTGGATCAACCCTCTTAGTGTATAACGACAACGTATCAGCTCAAAATGATTGATTGATTGATTGTTGTTTAACGTCCCTCTCGAGAATTTTTCAACCATATGGAGACGCCACCACTTGTCGGTGGAGAGCTGCAAATTTTGTCGTTTACTCGGCACTCGGGGCCGTTGAGCAATGAGGAATAATTTTCGTGCCAGCATCTACTGCGACACAGGTACTCATCCGAAGGACCGGTCTCCATGCACGTCCCACAGTGGGATTCGAACCCGCGGCTCCTTACTTCAATATAATTTCCAGTGAAATTCAAGTATTCGTTTATTTTTGATAGTTTATATCTGCCATAAGCTAGTTTAAAATAGACTAAATTAATACTAAAAAATTGAAGAAAATAAAGACAAGATTTCAGCAGAATTTATCATAAATTATTTTAAAACCAATGACATAAGAGAATCAGTGTATGTAATGAAGCATTGTCTACATATAAAGTCAAAGTATCCTAATATAATTTATATGTTAAAACAAACTACGTCATCAAATACTCACACGATACAGTAATTAATGTAAATTCCACTATATTAATTAGAAGTACATGTATATATCATACAAACAGCTTGCATAACATAACTCAATTAAAAATGAAATGACGTGCGGAAGAAATGACATTTCAGCAAGTAACAGTGCGAAAATTTCAGTGACGTAGCAGACGTAGCATCGTTTTTGAAAGTGGGGGGGGGCAGCCAGAGAGATTTTATTAAATACATATCTGAAAAAGTTGACAAGCAAAAAAAAAAACCCTACCAAATTGCTCAAACTTGAAAATCCTTTTTCGGGGGAGGGGGGGGGGAGATAGAGAGAGAAAAGGGGCTACTTTTCAGAATCAATTTTTGCATACAATAATCTGTTTTCCTTATATCCTTTAATTTCCGGTTTACAATACACTTTCAATAGTAAAAGTAATGTCGTAAAAAAGGGGCCAGCCCCCCCCCCCCCCCCGTTGCTACATGCCTGAATTCGTATCGTATTTCCTGATTTATTGCACAGGCACTTGTTTCTGTAATTATAAATCTTTAAACCCATAAACCATGGGTTGAAAACAAAAGGCACTTGTTTCATATACGGGGTACTCCATACTTATATTTACAAGTAGGGGGTACATATAAGTAGGGGGTACCCAGTATAGGAATTAAGTGCCTGTGGTTGAAAATATTATTATTTACAGAAACAAATACCTGTGGATTTTTGCCCCAGAATTGTTGCTATTGTATTAACAGTAACTGATAATTAAATGTAACAGGATGGAAAGGAGAAAAATGCGTCGGAGCAGTCCGGGAGTTGCAGAACTCTAGCACTTGGCCAGATAACTCACTTGATAGAGCACCTGAATTTCCATGCAGAGTATCAAGGAGGTGGCGGGGTTTTCGAATCTCGATTTTGTCCGTCACATCTCTTTCTCATACCCCGATACATTTAGTGCCGTGCCATGCCCTGGAAGTGACGGGTGAACGACCTCCCGGTGAATGGTCTATAGCCCGTGAATTGGTGTCTTCGGGGTCCGAAGACTTTTAAGGATGGAGGTTCCGTTTATGAATTAAATTATAAAATAATTTTTTAAAAATCTTAATTCTGATTTATTTCTGCCAAGTGGCTAACTTATTTGAGTCCTAAGTTGACTGATCCAAGTGTTTCCATCTGTCAATCCGACCTAAAAAATACATATAGTGTATGTAAAAAATCCATTTTTTATTTAAATTTAAACTTGATGAACGAATTGTCGCATCTTAAATTTTGATTTACTCGCGCAAGGTGGGGGAAGTATATATACAAAATTATTTACGAATCCATCGTGCATGTTTAAGTCCCTCTCAGACACTGCGAGTTACACCATACCCTGCAAATGGCCTGCATACATGTAATCCAGGTATCACACCAGTATTTGACCAATCAACATGAAGAACTTTCACGAAATATTTCGATTTAAACGACATAATGTGTCGATAATATATCGTTTTTATGAGAATTGAAAAATAATTTTGTTTTTCACAAGATAAAATTTTTCTGGTATCTTAAAATCCAAAGAAAAAAAAAAGGATAAAGTAAAAAAAACGTGTCCTTAATGTACTGACCACCATACCCTTCCTTCTTTCAATTATATATTTTTTTTTTATTCCGCGTTATTTTTTTTTTATTATTATTTATTTATTTTCTCTAAGAAACGTGGTTATATAGATCTTCTTGTGGGTGATCTTTCAATTCTTTCGTTGTAATGTATTTTTTAATTTATCCAAGTTTTAGTACGAAAGTACACGATATTGGAACTTTTCTGTATTTAAATAAATACACCTCACAATTTTTCCCAGTTTTGATCCACCTACGTTTACACTTCTGACGCATGACTTACGTCACAAACAGGTTGTCATATGTTTGATACGCATGACAGAGTATGCAAGGCATTGTCATATTTTTCAAAAATCTATTGTCAATTATTTAATCAATTAGCGATGCTACCTCCTTTACACATGTTATTTTTTCAACAAAATACTGTCCATATTCTTTGATCAAACAAAGTAGTGCGAAAATGTAGAAAATAAAACGACTATTTCAATTAGTCCTTATTTTAACCTTTGACCAAGTGCCCTTTCGTTCAACCAATCAAATTGCTGTTGATGAAAGCGCATGAATATTGTTCACGTTGCACATTGCGTAGACAGTTCCTCTTGTGGTGGTAAGAGTGTTAGACGTGTGATCAAATATGTCTTTGAAAACTTTTTAATTTTTGATAAATAATTTGCTTAAATTTACCTTTAATTTTATTTCAGCTTAATCAGAAGCCACATTGGATCATACAAAGTCATTTAGATCTCCTTAGGACGGATTTTTGCGGACGCAGTACGGTAAGAAGTTGGTTGCTTGTTCTAAATCTGGACACGTCGACAATGTCCATTGCAATGCTTATCAAATATCCAGTCTCTTATAAATACTTTTAGATAAACTGTGGTTAATTTTGTTTTAGATCAAGCTACTTCCTCATAACACTATTTGATAAAATGTTTATGTTTCGGTGCAAATAAGATGGTAATATTCCCAATATGTGCAGAGAAAATGCTGGCTGAGTTTGACAGTCTTGACACGTCACACATACGGTATTGAACATGAACAGAAATTTCCATAAAGTGTTACATAAGTTTGGATTTAATAAGTGAAGTGTAATACAAAGATTTTTCCTCCTTTGAAAAGCTTTTATTTTCTTATAAATCAAAAGTTAAATTTGTTTGTAAACCTTTAGAAACAGAACTGTTTTATTTACCTGTATTAGAGGAGGAGAATTAGTCTCTAAACATATGGAGTTTATCCACTACTTCTGAACTATTTTTGGGTCTATCACATGGATTCAAATTGAATTTGACATTGAAAGATAAGCACATTTCATTATTCTTTTAATTTTATGAGTATTTTTTGTTTGTTTTTGCTTGCTGGCAGATACTGAAGATTTTTTAAAATTTAGATCTGGTTTATAAAGAAAATTGATCAGAATAAGTCCATTCTGAGTTCAAAGATGTATTGTGCATATATAGTGGATGTAAATTGCCATTTAGACTTGATAACCTCTAAAACCACATGAAAAGTTGAAAACAATCATATAAAAGAAAGGAAATATCAGACATTGGCATTATATATGCTTTTAAGGTGATAGGGAAAACAATTGATTTTTTGTTCTTTTAAGAAACTCTAATAAAAAGAGTGATATGTTGAAATAAAAGTATTTGTATAACATTTTGATGTCTTATTTCATCTACATTTCATGTATTTAAATTAATGATATATCATATTCCTGATATCTACATTATAGATAGTACTGTACGACTTGGAATCGCCCAATTGACAAACGAATTTGGACATGGCTTCAACCTCAGAGAAGGTCCGCCCTGTCGAAGATTTGGCCTATGAGCCACAAGAGAATAAAGATGTGTTAAGCTACACTGAAGTATTTCCCGAACTTCCTCATGCCCATCCCGTGGAAGGAACCCAATGGCCAGCCAAGACCCCAGCAGCATGGAAAACCAACGTGAGACCATCCAAGTGTACTCAGGTGAGAGTCTTCATAGTCTTCTGATTTTGTGTTGCTTTCTTGAATAGAAAATTTGATTCTGTCTTAAAAATTTATTTAATAGGAAATAATCCTATTTGAAATGTTGATGAATTTGATATTTAGGCATAATTGAATACCTTGAAGTTTAGAAGCTTTAGAATATGCAGTTTTAGAAATTTTTTTGAAAAATGTTCAATTTCTTTCTATATGAAGGTGTTTACTGTTCCCTTAGAGGAACGTAGATTCAAGGAAATGAATGAACATAGCTTTGGTGATGAAGGACAAACAGAACAGGCAAAAATCTGCAAGGATATAATGGCTAGGCATGGTAAGCTATTTTTTAGATAATTTTTTTGCATGTTCAAATCATCAGTTTTATTCCATATTAAAATGGTCTTATATGAGCTTTGTTTACATTACTAGATGTTTCCATTGAGATCAGTTTATCTAAGGACCAGAGTTTGACAGTGGTCATTACTGGAAGGGAACAATCTGTATTGAAAGCTAGGAGAGAGGTTCTTGGCAAACTTCAAACCCAGGTACAGAGTGTACAATGTCTTACAAAACACTGGTGGTCATTTATCAGATGTGCATTGCATCACTAACTGATACCATATCTTGTTGATTCCTGTTGAGATTATCAGGAATGCTACTGTAAAAATGACTTTTCAGGGACTTATTCATAACACCTTCCACTCTAAGTAATTTTGAATAGACACATGATTTTATTTGGGGGGGGGGTGTTCTAGGTTTTGGAATTTGACAGAAAAATACAGTGGATCATCTACTGGAAACACATCTTTTTGTTTGACTAAAACTCATCTTTTGATTTACCACTATTTGTCTCAGGTTTAAGTGTAGATTCAGAAATGAAGAAATTTTTTTTTTGACTATTGTAGGCAAGTGACACTGTGAAAATCCCCAGAGAATACCATCGTTTCATTCTTGGAAAAAATGGCAAGAAACTTCAACAACTGGAAAACGAGACAGCAACCAAGATAACCATTCCAAGGGCTGATGAAAAAGTGGATGGAATTAAGATAGTTGGACCGAAAGAAGGCATAGAGAGAGCTAGACATGAAATTCAAATCATCGCAGACGAACAGGTGTGTGTTATAAAAATGAAGCCATTGATTTACCCTGAAATATACTGTTTCGATGAGTCGGCATTCTTCTAACATTTGTACCTTGTAAGATTATAACACAATCACTATGATTTTAAAGACGCTCAAATTTATACAATTTTTTGAACGCTCTTCAGTACTTTACATAAATGTTTATATTTTTTATCTCCAATAGGCCAAGCTAGCATTTGAGAGACTTCAGATCCCCCACATTTATCACCCATTTATCTGTGGACCAAACAACACCCTGGTGGACAAGCTTAAGGAAGACACAGGTGCTAAAATACACATTCCTCCCTCAGTCCTTAATAAAGATGAGATTGTTGTTTCTGGTGATAAAGACGGTGTAATGCGTGCCAAGGAAACCATCATGAAAATCTACCAGGAAAAGGTTTGTTCTTTGTTAGATTCTAATATAATGTAGCAAGGTCAAAGTTTCTCATTTCTTATATAATTGTCATGCATTCAGGAAGTTGATGCCACCAAAAAATGTGTTTGTAAATTTAATTCCAACAGAAAAGGAAATGCCAGACAGTATCGGTAGAAGTGAGAAAGTCGCAGCACAAGTACATTATTGGACCCAAGGGAAGTGGAATTCAGGAAATCTTACAAGCTACTGGTGTCTCTGTAGAAGTGCCCACCCAGGACAGTGTAGAAACCATCACCCTCAGAGGCGAACAGGACAAACTCGGACCGGCTCTTACCATGGTTTACTCTAAAGTAAGGGGACTTTTGAAAATTTTAATTACAATTAATTAATTACAGTTTTTGCAGTGTTGGTATAATGGCTAATTATATGAGTGCAAGAATAAAATATTTTACTAGTGAGACTGGTCAATCATTGTTTAAGAATAAAATTTTTGAAAAAACGAAATATGTTTTCTTTTTCTTTGACAGGCAAACAGTGTAGTTTTTGCGGAGGTGGATGCACCAGCTTGGCTGCACCGTTATGTGATCGGAAAACAAGGTGCTAACGTCAAGAAAATAACTCAGGACTTCCCCAAGGTGCACATAGAATTCACAGAGGGTCAGAACAAGATTCAGATTGAGGGGCCACCAGAGGAGGTGGATGATGCTGTGAAGGCCCTCGAGGCCATTGTCAGGGACCTGGTAAGAAGACCTTATCATCTATTTAAGTGTGTAAAAATTGTTAATGCTAAAAAGTATATGGTAAGGCCAGGTAAAATTAATCTTTAGATTCTCATCCTAATTTGCAAAAAAATTGGGGTGGGTGGGCGGATTTTATTTTTTTTTTTTTATAATTGTTAATTTATATATAGGCCCAAGTATCAACAAAACAATGGACGCCCCGTACACATTTTTTTCATTACCTTAATGCAAATATGAATAGATTTAATTCTTTTCATATTCTTTTAAATATTTAAAGAAATTTTTTTCTTTAAAAGTTAAACATTTATTGTTAATTAACAAATTATCAAGTACACATTATACGGCACACCCTGAACAAAATGAGGTAGGGATACCAATAAATTGTGTATGCGTGACTTCTTATTTTGCAAAATCTATATAAATGTTCTAATAATTATTCTACTGAAAATTCTAGGCCTTCTCTTAAGTCTGTCTACGATGCTGTAGATTTTTTTTTCATTTCAAAGCTAAGTCACACAGCTGGAGGTCGTTATATTATAACTTGACTTTCTTCGTCTATTTTTACTTAGTTACAATCTCTCTACATATTTGCTCCTGCCAGTGATGGTATCCATATGTGTTTATGCTATTTTTTCTTCTCTGCCTTCTCTATACTGACAAATTATCTTTTCCTTTCACATTTAAACTGCTTTTATTGCCGATTTTTCTCCATTCTTCACATGGCGTTTTTGCTATAAATAGCGACGCGCGACTTTTAATACAGACGGGAGATAACTCTTAAACTTTGACCCAAATTCTTACTGAATAAAAATACATGAAAATACCCAAAAATCAAAATAAAAAACATCGGGGCGGGACATTTTGAGAGGGGCGGGCGGGGATGAGAATCTAAAGATTAATTTTATATGGCCTAAAACAAAACTTATTAAAGGTGAAAATATTTGTAGTAAGAAAATGATGAAATTTGATGACTCTATTTTAGAAAAAGAGAATGGACTTTACGGAAGTGAACATTGATCAGAAATTCCATAAACACATCATCGGCAAAAATGGACAGAATAGTGAGTAGAATATTAATATTCTTTGTACATCGACCTAGGTAGGACTGTCATTGATTTTCTTTGAAACTGCAAATATTTGTTGTCTAGTCTGATGATCAATCATTATGTATAGAACAATAAATACATGTACACTATGAATATTGATTCAAATATTCCTTGTTTCTGACAGCCCTAGTTTACCAATTTTTTTGTGACCACATTATATTAGAAGTCATGAATTCTTTTTTCTGTCTATAACCTGAAATTTGCTTTGAACAGTTACCAGAATTAAGAACGACACTGGATGTGCTATCAAGATTCCATCAGATGCTGAGAATAGTAACATCATCAGAATAGAGGGAGATCCTAAGGGGGTAGCCCAAGCTAAACAGGAACTTATGGAAATGGCCAAGAGAATGGTAATGAATCCTAGATTATTTCTTTGTAAATGTTTATATGCTCTATATTTAAACTTAGGTAAAACTTTATCAATATTATTTTTGCAGGAAAATGAAAAAACCAGAGATATCATTATTGAACAACGGTTCCACAGGACAATTATTGGAGCAAAGGGTGAAAAGATCCGGGAAATAAAGGACAAATTTAACCAAGTTCAAGTCACTTTCCCAGACCCCGGAAAGAAGAGTGACATAGTTACCCTGAGAGGTCCTAAGAATGATGTGGACAAGTGTTATAAACACCTACAGAATCTCCAGCAGGAACTGGTCAGATCAGTGGCTTTGGTTCTTTATGACTTTTTCTTACATATTAAATTCTACATTTACATTATGTGTTGGTTCAAAACATTTAGTGCTTTATCATAAATTTTATTCATCCTTATTCAGGTCCAGAGCAGCTTCCAAGCACAGGTTCACATCTTCAAAGATTTCCACAAGAATATTATTGGTAAAGGAGGGGCCACAATCAGAAAGGTAGGACTTGTTATTTCAAAACAATAAGAATGGTATTCTGATATAATACAGTATTTGATATATTGTTCATTATGTGATTTCTGTTGTAGATTCGAGAGGAAACTGATACCAAGATAGATTTACCTAGTGAGAACAGTGACTCTGATGTCATTGTCATTACTGGCAAGAAAGCCAATGTGGAACAGGCCAAAGCCAAGATAGAGGCCATTCAGAAAGAATTGGTAAGGCTATCTAAATTTAATTCCTTGGTTCTCAGGCCAATTTTCTCCAAAACAGATGCGGGAGGGCGGCATTTTATTTTTCATTTTATTGGCAATAAAGTAGATGAGGGAGGATTTTTTTTAAATTTAATTTCTGAATTTTTTTTAACATAAAGATAAATTTTTTAGTCACAGATATACTTTCCATTTCTGGTCAAAATTTCTGCTTTATCCATTGCTTAGCAGCGTGTAAACATCGTAGGTAATGTCCTCGAATGTATTTTCAAACGAAGTAGCCAAAATCTCATTGAAAATGACTACCGGAAGTTATATTTGAATACTAAACTACAAAACAAATGAGGTCGGAATTTTTATTTCCGGATTGGTGTCCGCAACACCAATTTTTTATTTTATCAAAAATACAAAAAAGTCGGCAATGCGGCTACCTCAAAACGGATGCGGGCGGGCCTGAGAACCAAGATTTCAATTTTATTTAGCCTAAGTACATTTATTTCTATTTGTGTATTTACAAATACATGTACATATATAAAAGTTGGAAGATAAGGCTATCTAAATTTAATTCCGTGGTTCTCAGGCCAATTTTCTCCAAAACAGATGCGGGAGGGCGGCATTTTATTTTTCATTTTATTGGCAATAAAGTAGATGAGGGAGGTAATTTTTTTAATTTTAATTTCCGAATTTTCTTTAACATAAAGATCATTTTTTTAATCACAGATATACTTTCCATTTCTGGTCAAAATTTCTGCTTTATTCATTGCTGAACAGCGTGTAAACATCGTAGGTAATGTCCTCAAATGTATTTTCAAACGAAGTAGCCAAAATCTCATTGTAAATGACTACCGGAAGTGATATTTGAATACTAAACTACGAAACAAATGAGGTCGGAATTTTTTTTCCCGGATTGGTCTCAGCAAAACCAACTTTGTATTTTATCAAAAATACAATAAAATCGGCAATGCGGCTTCCTCAAAACGGATGCGCGCGGGCTTGAGAACCAAGATTTCAATTTTATATGGCCTAATTTCTAATGCATGTAAAGTTTACATTGCATTTGACAATGGAGCATTTAATTATTATACATGAACAAATGAAAGGAAAGAAAAGAAAGAATGTAATCCAAATGTGTTTTTTACTTAAGGCTAACATCAAGGAAATTACAGTTGACATCCCTCACAAATTCCACAACTCCATCATTGGATCCAAAGGTAAACTGATTCGCTCCATCATGGAGGAAAATGGAGGAGTTATCATCCGCTTTCCACAGGAAGGTTCCACACAGGACAAGGTGACAATCAGGGGACCCAAGAGTGATGTGGAGAATGCCAAGGCTCAACTGCTGGAAATAGCTAATGAAAAGGTGAGTGACTTCAAAATTATTCACCCTGAAGTCTATGTAAGTAAGTGTGATTATTTTTCATTCCTCTGATGTTTGTTGACAGAAGTGCAGACTTTTTTTTATTTCTTTATGAATAGTAAACATGGCTTGGTTTCATATTTTAAAAAATCATAAACATCAAATTTTAAAATTGTGGAAAATGAATCCTTTGTTTTGCAGCAAACCTCAGGATTCACTGCGGAAGTGAAAGCAAAACCAGAGTACCACAGATTTCTGATCGGGAAGAATGGCAGCAGCATCAGGAAGGTGGGTCTTACTAAGACAACACTTACCCTCCATTTTACCTCAGGACAAGGTTATTTTTCTGTTCTGGCTTTGTGTGGAGGAACATCACGGTCACTGTAAACTTTAAATGTCATCAAAAGATGATGTTTAACAAAATCAGGGACAACACTGCATGTTTTACTCCCTATACCATGGGACTTTGCTGTGCTTTAAGTTTATTGGATCTGATCAATGCTTAACATAAATAATTTTCATTATTTTGAAAAGACAAATTAAAGTTACTTATTATCTTGAAGTATAAGTGTGAAAAAACTTGCTTTCAGGTTCAATTCCCCTTGGGGGGGGATGTAAAATTATTTTATAAAATTTTGCAAGCTAAATTTTTTCAAATTATTTTTAAAATTTACAGTAAGTCTTTGTATCATTAAAATGTTTTATTATAACCAAAACTTGATTTTTGTTGCAAATAAGACTAGGTATTTCAGAAAATATCATGTGAACACAACTTTAGCTTATTGTTTGATAATTTATATCCTATTTTTATTAAAGGTCCGTGAAAAGACAGGTGCCAGGGTGATTTTCCCATCATCTGATGACACAGACCAAGAAACCATCACCATCATTGGTAAAAAGGAGTCAGTGGATGAGGCTAAGAAAGAATTAGAGGGTCTCATCAAGAATCTGGTAAGTCACGCTAGCTGTTCTACTTGAAGATAAGAAAATACATATGTAGTTCACTTGCAAATAAATTGATTTTGGGCATTCCTTAATACAATTTTCTGAGAGTAAATGTTTATTTATTTTAAAAAAAGAAGCTTTACGACCATTTATTGAGGGTAACAAGATTCAATCCTTGGTACATATGATTATCTTTCAGCTCTCAGTATTACTTATTTACTTTTTATAGGACAATGTTGTGGAAGGAGAGATGCAGGTAGACCCCAAACACCACCGATACTTTGTGGCTCGCAGGGGAGAGGTCCTCAAGCACATTGCTGATGAGTTTGGTGGAGTAACAGTTAGCTTTCCTCGCAGTGGGGTCAAAAGTGACAGAGTTGTTATCAAAGGTTCTAAGGATTGTGTTGAAGGAGCTAAAAAGAGAATCCAGGAAATTGTGAATGACTTGGTATGTTTATAGTAATATAACTCAAACCTTACAAGCAAGGAAAAAAATCATTGTTACAATAGAGTTACAAGAAACATATTGACGCAAGCGTCAAAAATCGGCCGCAAACTAATTAATTAATTCTTTCATAAAACAATTAGAAACTGAATTCTTATATTTATCTGTTAATTAATATGTATCCCTGTGACATTAAACGTTGGAATGCGACATTCCAGGTTTTTCTTCAGTACATAATACCTGTACATTGCTACATGTACAATGTATTTAAGCAACTTACTCATAGTCCTCTGCGTCCCCGCACTCAGATTCATTTGTACAAACGAACTCTGGTGGAAGTTTGATGTTTAATTAGTTTTACAACTTAACCATTAATAATAACGTTTAAACTTATCTAACTAGAGACAGTTTAACTTTAAATAAAACGTAACAACTATGTGGGGCTCCTCGCTTGCTCAGAGGATGTTAAAACCCCCAAACTCACTCTAGATCCGCCACTACATTTCTTCTCTTTTTTGTTTTGGTGTGAGATGTGGCGGGAAAAGGCTTGGCATATTGTAAAACACGCTTTATCCTTGTCTGTTGGAGAAAAATCTCCTAATATTCTGTCCGATAATAAATTAAGATTAAGTCATATTTTTGATAATTTTCCGTATAAAATGTATATTGTATATTTATATTTACACATCATTTTAAATTATATATACAACAAATCCTGTTGAAGTAGAGAAAGTAAATTTGTTTATACATGTATATAACGCGGTCCTTGCTTTAGACAATGCCTAACATGTGTGCTTAATTCTCCGCACTTCAGTTACGTCGGAGTTTGTCAATCATGATTGGATGAAACATTTAACCCATTATTTATAAAATTTTTATCTTATGATTTGTTTAACATTTAGACACTCTTTCTTAATATTCTATTACAAGAATGTTAAATATTTTTTATTCAAATTGTTCTTACTCCGCAGAAACGCACGGCGAGTTCAAACTTTCATATCATATAACCGACCGCCTCCTGGCGGCCGGTAATAAGCATAAACTAGGACACATTTGGACTTTTTTTGTAAATGATACTTTGTTTCACTAGTTTATTTGATCTTTCCTCAGGATTCCCAGGTGACTGTGGAGTGTGTGATTCCCCAGACCTACCACAGGACTGTCATGGGAACCAGAGGGGCCCATGTCCAGGATATCTGTAAAACCTATGATGTCGGCATCAAGTTCCCTGACAGACCCATGCCTAATGGAGGTAGACTCTTACTCATTACTCATTGTCAGTTTGATTTGTAAGGTATGTTCATCAGGTTCTCGGAAATAACTTCCATGAAAATGAAGCTAATATACAACCTTTGACTTTTGTAGATAACCACAGTAATGGTATGACAAATGGTGAAGTAGATGAAACATCTCCAAAAGATCCAAAGAAATGTGACACCATCATCCTTACTGGCAAACAAGAGAACTGTGACAAAGCCAAGGAGGCTCTGCTGGTACGTCTTTTACATTGTAGAAAAAAATATAGAAGTATCACAAGGTGAAGAAACTACCTTCTATTAAATTCATATCTTAAGGGTCTCTCTGAAAGCTTGACTGGTGTACACGTGTTGAAAAATCTTATTAGGTGGAGATCATATTCTATTTAATTTATGATCTGGAGCTTATTGGTTCATGGCCAGAGTTGGTCAAAATATTCATCTATAATTCTTGCTTGCATCAGATTTTCAAAAAGAGAATACCAACATGAGGTCAATTCTCTTTGTTATTTTAGAAAATGTTTGAAAAATTGCACTTATAACTGATTTACTGTTTATCTTATAGGCATTGGTTCCCATCACTGAGGAAACATCGGTACCGTATGACTTCCATCGCCGAATCATTGGACAACAGGGGAAGGAGGTCAGGTCTATGATGAAGCAGTTTGATGTGAACATCTCTATTCCTCCACCAGAGGATCACAGCGACAAAGTTAAGGTGACAGGACCCCCAACCAATGTCAAAAACGCCATCGAAGCTTTGCAAAAGAAATGTGAACAGCTGGAACAAGAAAAAGAGGAAAAGGTATTACAGGAAAGGAATAATAAGAATCTTCACACTTATTCTGACAATTAGAATAAGTTGTTAAGTTGTGATGGGCTATCCAACAAATAGGAATAACTGTTCAGTTAAGAAAATGTTTTTCTTTAAGACTTGATAACTAAATGGAAAAAAGACCAAAGATCACTTGGATGGAAGAGCTTCTAAAATAGAACAAAAACAAATGTATATTGATTTATTGTAGATTCTGAAGGGATTCACAATGACTGTCCCAGTGGACTCTCAGTATCACTCCAAGATCATTGGACGTCGAGGGGAGAGGGTGAAGAAGATCCGAGAAGATCACGATGTCATCATCCAGTTTCCACGGGAACAGGACGAGGAGCAGAACAGTATCACCATTACAGGATACGAGAAAGATGTGGAGGCAGCCAAGGAAACCATTCTCAACATCGTCAGAGAATATGTAAGTCTTAAAATTGTCAGAATATGTAAGAGACTCAAGTAAAAATGTTGACTTGTATTTAAAATTTGATACAAACTTGTTGAGTATTATGTGACCATAAAATACAACTTTCATTAGTATATCACGTTCATGAATTAAAGTAAAGGCCAGAATTTTAATGAAAACTACGTAAGACTGACACAAAGTATGCATAAATACTCAGCTTTGAGCTGAGGTTCAAGTCTAACATTGATTACAAACAGTAAACACACAGTCAAAAATATAATTATAATCAGGGGCAGACAAGTAGATTTTTCAAGCACTTGCCCACGGGCAAGTTCATGGTCAAATTTCACTTGCCCTACTTCAATTTTTACTTGCCCCACCTGCACTTTATTAATTTATCATAATAATTAATTTGTCTCTAAATCAGGATTGTTATTTTGAATATTGGCGACATTTAAAACCACCTGCCATTAAGTACTATACGTACCATACAACCTGTTGATTGGCTGTATGCTGTTTTACGTCCCGTTCCAGAATAATACTTTCTTTCATATAGAGACGTAAAATTGCTATCATATTTCAGCTATAGTCATGATATCTGCTATTTGTTTAAAATAATAGTTATGGACCTTTTTTTCTTTTCTCATACCTGGTATGCTTTGACAGGTTTGTACTGAGTTTTTCACTAACATTCTTATGGACGATGTCAATCGTTTTCTGCCTCATAACTGTCAAAATTTTCTCCATTTCTCCTATGCCAATTTAATTATATTTTCACTTTTAATTAAGTACTAAAACATGTACTGAAAGTTTTCAGTAAAATTAATAATTGTAATGAATTGCATAATGATGACACAATTAAACTGGTTCGCATAGGAAGTGTGACAAACAAAGGAAGATAACTCTTACAACAAAATAATTTTAATTTCGTGGAAAACTATGACATTTTTAAAAATATTTATTGATTGATTATTTTTTAAGCGACTTGCCCACGGGCAAGTGCCTATTAAAAATTTACTTGCCCGCCTCTAAAATTCACTAGCCCCGGGCGTCGGGCAATGGGATTTGTCAGAGCCTGTATAATTTTAACCTTTGAAAAATTTGTGTTTGTAACTTTGTAGGAAGAGATGGTGACAGTGGAGTGCAATGTTGACCATCGTGTTCATCCCAGAATTATTGGTCTCCGTGGACGTAATATCAGAAAAATAATGGACAGTTTCAAGGTGGATGTTCGCTTCCCACGACCTTCAGATGACAACCCTGACCTAATTCTGATCTCTGGAGATGAAGATAATTGTCTGGAATGTCGCGATGAACTGCTTAATCTGGAGGAAGAATACGTAAGTTTTAAGGCTCTTTGGAAATGTTATGTTATTTTTGTCAGTTTTGTTTCTTGACCAGATAGAACTTTTTGTTTAAATTTTCATATAAATTTTACTGCACAAGATCAGTGTTGGATAATAGAAATTATTTTTGTATTTTCAGAAGTTACTTGTCTTTATAACTGATTTTTTTTTCATTTGAAATTAAGCTTTTAAACTTTGCTTCTCAAGATAAGGATATGTTTGATAACAGAAAATAATGTAATTTCAGTTGCAAGATGTGATTGACAAACAGATGTTGGAGGAAATGACAAGACCACCTAAATATCATGAGGAAGAAAAACGAGCCTCCAACAAATCCGCCGGATTCGTAGTAGCAGGTGCCCCTTGGGATAAGCCCCCTGACACATCCAGCACCGAGGACTTCCCCTCCATGGGGGCTAGCACTGTGGCCCCTAAGGTCAACACTGCCTGGGGTTCCAACCGCTTCGGCAAGCGCTGAGGACTGCACTGTTTGCTTTGCAATGTTTCAGTTATTAAACATATCCTCTGTTAAGAATGCAAATAAGTTAGGTGATATTTCAAGTGATTATTTTTCCTGATAGTTTTAGTTTCCATTTGTGTTTTGGAAACAATTATGAATGTGATTTTGTTTTTGTCTGCATTTTACACAAACAGCGACTGTTAATTTTACCTCATTTCTACACACCAACTGTTTTTCATGGCTGGTACATTTCTTTCAAGTATTTGTGCTGTTGTTTTAAAGAAATAATGGAGCAATTGAAACTCCACATCAAATTATCTTTTAAGTAGTGCTATCTCCAAAAGAGGCATTATATTGTTTTGTTATTTGATTGATATGACGCAAAAAGAATGGCTGTTACTGTAATTTATTAATTTCTTATGGCATTAACGCTACTAGTATCTTTGTTGGACATCACAAAAAAGTCTTCTAGCAGCCCGTACCTGTTGTGAAATAAGGTTGTTGGGTAGGGCTGACTCCTGATTAGTTAATTCTTATGTCTCTCTGTAAATATCATTATTAATATATATAATATACTTATGCATATTGAGTTATGATTAAGGAATTTTTTTCTTTGATGTGCATGATTGTAGTGTGAGAGGGAGTTTTGTACATCATTTCATCCATGTTTCAGTAGTTGACACAGATATGCTTGGTTCAGGGCCTGCTCAACTCATCCTTAATTTTTCCATGAAAAAAAAAAGCTGTCATCTCGTCATTTCTTTGCACATAAGGCCAGAGAATGGCCAATACAACCAAGTCAGCTAGTCAAAAGGCACTGCACCAGCAAACCTAAGTAGATGTGTGGAGGGTAAAGGGCCTTGTACAGAGATGGAAGGCCTGCTGGTGCAGTGATTTTGCAGGATATCAAAACTTTGCATTTTTCCTGCCATTATTACTGGAGTATTAGGTTTCAAAGAATTAGTGTTTTGTATATATTATGTAAAGAGTATTTTTATTAAACATTTGCTATGGTTATGAAAATTAATTATATTCATAAACAGGTGTATATACCATTGATATATAAATATATCGTTAATAATTTTCACAATGTTTTTATTTTGTTGATGCATGAATTAAAAAAAACCTTATAATATTGAACTGAGTAGTGACTATTAAGAGCTATTTTTGGATGTGTACTGGATGTATACACTGATTTATATGTGGAGAGGTGCGCTTTAATGGCATCTTGTGTTCTTTACAGGGACTTACTGTACTTGTATGTTGACCAAACTTTACATTGAATCATTTGAAATAAACGATCAAGTGATATTTATTTATTGTTTATTGCATTAAGATGTGGATTATCTCATCAACTTTTAGGTCACATGAGTCATTCTGGAGAAAACTTTTGTTTTGTGATCAATGTGATGTGTGTCCATCAAAGCTCAAATTCAAATTTCAGTTTTTTCACAAGAACAGCTTGACTATGAGCTCTTAAAGTCCAGGTTTATTTTACAATCATTAATAGCTGCATTTTCAATAAAAATGGAACTCGTAAATTTACTTTTGGTCATTGGTCATTTGCAAAATTATTTTATTAAAACACATTGCACACAAGAACTCTGAAGTAAACATCAAAAAGATTATTTTATAAAAACACATTGCACACGCAAGTACTCTGAAGTTGACATCTGATTGACAATATCTATATGGTTTTTGGAGACCAGATCTTCCAAGAATCTAATGGAATTCTCATGGGTACCAATTGCTCTCCTTTATTTTCAGACCTTTTTTGTATTCACATAAATCAGAATTTGTGCAAAATCTTATGCTTGAAAAGAAGAAAACATTTACTGTGACCTTCAACTTGACATTTAGATATATCGACGGCGTATTGTCAATTAATTAACAGTGGTAAATTAACAATAGCAATTTCCATTCCTATGTCGATACGATATATTCTGGAGAGCTTGAGACAAAAGATACTACAGAGTCTGACACATCTGTTTCATACTTGGATATTTTACTCAAAAAAGACTTGAACGTTAATCTAACAACCAAGCTCCATGATAAACGTGATTACTTTTCTATGGTTAACTTCCCTTACTTATGCAGCAATATACCTTCATCGCCTGCATTTGATTTGATACGCGAGAGCAAACAAGTTGGTGAAACAAGAATACCAGCAGTCTCGTTTAAAGTCACAATTTCGTTATTGCTTCGATCGATACAATGACCTTTTCAGCAAATAAAATTTATCATTGAGTCTGAACGACGTTCTTCATACTTATTGTTAGACCTTTATTTATACACTGAATTGACGATGTATGACAAGGAGGACATTTCGGGTGTGACCGGTCGGCAGGGGATGCATACTCCTTCATGGTACCTGATCCAACCTCTGATGTTTTGTTAGCTCTGCTCCTGTTTTGTATTGTTTTATGGACTTTGATATTGAAAACTGTTCCCTATGCCCATATGGCGGATAAGAACTCAATAAATTTATTTCTCATAATTTCTATTTTCTTTTTAAAATTAACGTAATGCTTTTTACCAGTTGCATACTTAATTACATCGTCGCAATGCTAGGGTTCTTGAGTAAACCGTTGGACTTCCAATGACAAAGTATTGAGTCGGGACCCCAGGCATTTCGAGAATGACAAAATTCATGTATGAATACAATATCTGAAAATTTTTATATGATTAATACAACAAAATGGCAACACTCAGTTTTGCAAAAATATTGCAAAAATTTAGTAAGAAGACCCACTCTACATAAAGACGTAAGTTAACTTAGTTCAATTTTTACAATAATCTTTAAAAATTCTAAGTCAAAATATGCTTGATAAACCTTAAGAACTGCTTGCTAAATTTTAAGTGCTCAACAAAAGCTGCTCAAACGGACGTTTATTGAAGCGAGTATTCGAATGATGCTCTGCATGATGGTGTTTTTTTTGGTTCAGCTTATCTCTAGATATAATTAATTAATGTTCCTATAAGAAATAAACATGTTCACCGGACATAAATATTGATTTAATCATGTAATGAACACATCTACAAAAATTACTATAGTCGAAAAGCCGGATAAGATTAATTTAAAACGAGAGACCCATGGGCCATATCGCTCACATGTGGACTATGGTTAAAAACAGCTCAGTATTGAAAAGTTAAAATTTAAAACGGGCCCAGAACTAGTCCTTTATGTGGGGGGGGGGGGGTGTAAAAACACAACAGTAACACTAACAACACAACTACACTGTACATATTTCCTTGATTAACTGTATCTTTTCTTTCTATTTTGAACCTTATTGTGAACCGCTCCTACCAAATATGATCATGATTTACACAAAATCTGACGATGCTTCCATACAAGTATATCCGATCATGGCACTGCTGTTCTTGAAAAGAAGATTACGGATAAAACATAATAAATGTATTCCCCTGTATAACTATGATCGTTGATTGTGGCCCTACTATACCCTACAACCAGGGGGATTTGAATATAACTAACCAAGGATGCTTCCATGTTTGTGGAGAGAGAGAGACAGACAGACAGACAGACAGACAGAGATGTGAATATGATACTTATATCATGGTTTTTCTGTTCTTCATCAGCTAGGACAATCTTTCATTTCATATTCTACAAACCAAAACAACTTCATTTATTAAAAGTTTCCTCCCTTCAACTATAAGACTTTGAAATGATTTACCCTTCAATATTCGAAACCTTTCTTCACTTTCATCATTCAAGACTGCCATAAAGAATATATATTGCCAAAAACCTAAGAAATATTACAATTATGGAAGTCTTAAAATGAATATATTGCATTGTCAATGGCGAGATAATGCTAGTAATTTTTAAAAATGCTGACTTATTTAATCATTTTTTAAGGAAGATAAAAGTTGTGACATGTGCGGATATAGTTCAGAAACATACGTACATATCACATTTTTATGAACATTTTATGAAATGTCCAAAATATTGTATCTAAAGGTAGAACCTTATGCAAAATTTTAATATTTTGCAATTACCAATGCCTTTATCCGTACAACTTTTTTTGAAAGGAGACAGTAATTTTGCTTACATCCAAAATATTGCAGTATTTAAACACCAGGCTGAAGCTAGCAGCCAACAACAGCAGCCACTAAGCCCGTAGAAGCTAGCAGCCAATAAAAGAAATTCATCAAAGAACTGAGAGTACTGAGAGGCAGTACTGATTTTAATACTTTATTTTAGATAATTAAGGGTTAATGATTGGATAATTAATGCGAAAATTAATCATATAATAAATCAGACACTCGGAGGCAGTAAGGCTCACCTGCAGAAAAAATATTCTTTTTTAAAACTGAAAAAACTAGAAATAAATTACCCAATCATCTTAGTCTACTTGAACAAACAAGCACTACGAAATGGTGAAATACTTCAATAAGAATACCTTTTCAGCTCCTTGAGGGACCTCAAGAATATGACAGGGCCAATGAGCTAACCTGAAAATTGGTTACTCTATCGATTGTAAACTGAAATATTTTTGTGTGGGGCATATTTCAAGCATTCATTTGTCCTTCATTTCTGGGAACCTGAAGTATCTATCACTAGGGATGGGTTAAGGGTCTTAGGGAGTATCCCTTGTCAAAGTTTCAAAGGGCCCCCTAACCTGAACTTTGATGTTTTTCATCATTGTATATTGTGAAACGGGAATAGATCAGCTATTATACGCCTTATCTTTGAAGTGTTCACCAAATGATTAGCAGGGCAAGGTAGGGGGGTCCTAGGGCTATCATTTCCCACTTTCAAAATGGGACTGTAGTGGCACCACCAAGTGGTGCCAAGTGCGTGGGGCATATTTCAAGCATTCATTTGTCCTCCATTTCTGGGAACCTGAAGTATCTATCACTGGGGAATGGTTAAGGGTCTTAGGGGGTATACCCTGTCAAAATTTCAAAGGGTCCCAGGGGCTGGGTAGGGCCGGTTAGCTAACCTGAACTTTGATGTTTTTCATCATTGTAAATTGTGAAACGGGAATAGGTCAGCTATTATACGCCTTATCTTTGAAGTGTTCACCAAATGATTAGCAGGGCAAGGTAGGGGGGTCCCAGGGCAATCATTTCTCACTTTCAAAATGGGACTGTAGTGGCACCACTTGGAGGTGCCAAGTGCGTGGGGCATATTTCAAGCATTTATTTGTCCTCCATTTCTGGGAACCTAAAGTATCTATCACTGGGGATGGGTTAAGGGTCTTAGGGGGTATCCCCTCTCAAAGTTTCAAAGGGTCCCAGGGGCTGGGTAGGGACGGTTAGCTAACCTGAACTTTGATGTTTTTCATCATTGTAAATTGTGAAACGGGAATAGGTCAGCTATTATACGCCTTATCTTTGAAGTGTTCACCAAATGATTAGCAGGGCAAGGTAGGGGGGTCCTAGGGTTATCATTTCCCACTTTCAGAATGGGGCTTAAGTGGCACCACTTGGAGGTGCCAAGTGCGTGGGGCATATTTACAGCATTCATATTTTATTCATTGCCGGCCTCCTGATCAAACTATCACCGGGGATGGGTAAAGGGCCTTAGGGGGTATCCCTTGACAGATTTCTGCAGGGTCCTAGGGGCTGGAAAGGGCCAGTTAGCTTACCTGAACTTTGATGTTTTTCATTATTGTACATTGTGAAACGGGAAAAGGGCAGTTATTATACATACTCCTTATCCTTGAAGTATTCATCGAATGATTGGGTTAAGATAGAGGGGCCCTAAGGCTATCACTTCCCACGTTCAGAATGGGGCTGTAGTGGCACCACTTGCAATTGGTGGTGCCAAGTGCGTGGGGCATATTATTTTACAGCATTCATTTGTCTTGCTTTATTGCGCACCTAAACCAACTAACACCGAGGATGGGTTGAGGGTCTTAGAGGGTATCTCCTGTCAACGTTTAAAAATGACCCAGACGCTGGGATGGACCGGTTAGCTAACCTGAACTTTGAGGTTTTTCATCATTGTATTGTGAAACGGGAAAAGGTTAGCTATTAAAGGCTTATGCTAATCTAATGTCACCTATAACTTCAACATAATCTGTCAAACTGAACGCGACATTTGTCGCAAATTTGTAAACAAAGTATAGACACGGCAGTTCTATTGTATCCTAGCTTTACATTAATTTTATTAACTTGATCGTTCAAATATTAAACAAATCGAAATGATTTGTTTTTACAGAAAATCTGCAATTTTATTATACATATAACAGTCAATCGTGTTTCTCAAAACTATTAAGTACGGATTACTGTCTTGTTCAACCAGGAAGTTGGAACTCGTGACGTAGTGTCTAGAATGTATGCCTTTC